TTCAGATCCCTTCCGACCACCTCATGTGAAACGCTTGTACCTTTCACTCAGTAGGATGAGGGGGTGGGTGGGTGGGGAGTAGGAACGAGAAGTGAGATTGTTGAGATGATTGAGGCGTTTGATGGGGATAGCGAATGCTGTATTTTTTCTCTCCTCCGTGATATCTATTCACAGGGAGTTTGAAACTGTATACCTGAATTAAACGACGGATATGACTGCTTTCGATGAACGGAGCTTTTTATACATAGTCTTTTTAAAACAACATATCTCTGTTACCTCATAATGGTTGTAGCACAAGGTCTTCTTGTGTTTTAATGCTGGGTTTTATTATCTACTTACATATTTTGCTTCTGTTGTAGCTTACCCTTCATTCATCCTGAAGCACGAATACCACTAAACGTCCACTACCTTTTTTCTCTTCATAGCTTCTGGTGGTCTTGAATATCGCATCAGTTCGACTTTCTAAATCTTCGCCCAAATCTGAGGGACTTCAAGAAACTATACTTGACGAGTTCCTGCTTTTACCGTTTAAGTATGTACAAATTGTGCTTTCTGTGTTCCAAACCTTGCTCTGTGAACTCGCTACAAAACTGGGATGTTGCGTGCGAGAAAAGCATACGACTACTGTCTGCGGTGAGTTCGTGTCGATGAAACATTTTAGTACTTCTTAGTCTCGTATTCTGTGCCCGATTAAGCATAATTGTCATCCGGATTTTGTCTATGGTTATGCCATGGCACGAATCTCGGTGTGCATCTATTGTTAGGATTGTAGGTTCGCATCCTGTCTGTGTCATACAGAGTTGGTGGTGAAAAAGATTGTGATCTGGTTGGGTCGCATCCGCAGTGCCAATCCATTGACCTAACTAGGTGTCAAACCCGCGCCTGTTATTAGTATGCTTGCGTTCTACCTTTGATGTCCCGGGTTCGATCCTCAACCGGGTCAATGGATACGCGCTGTTGATGAGACCCAATCAGGTCGAACCAACTATCCACTGTTTCGTTGCTTTTCAGTTCATGCTTCGTTTGCTCTTTACAAGACGAAATTCACCATATGATCAAACCAATTCCTCCATTGCTCTCATGTTAAAAGGTTTTCTGACGCCCAACTGAACAGGATGAGTTCATCTGTGACATACCATCCTTAGTGCTATCGACTGGCTTGCCTCTTCCTACGAGAACTATTACTTTAAAGATAGACCGATAAAACTGGGAATTTTTTCTCTCCCGGTTCATGATAGAATTGATTCAACAGAAACAAATCACTGTGATTCTACTAAATATTCCTGCGCAGAATGACTTCTTAGTGTATGACGTTATAACGGTTACGAGCATGAAAGTTTAACGGTGAACTGAGCTACGCATGCAGTTTCTGCGTTCAAAATCTCGCTAATCCGGATCGGACTATCTTTTTCTAGTTTGTTGCCCTCCTATCGCCGACTAAACCATCAAACAAGGTTAGATGTTATTGGTGTCTTGGCGCAGTCATCTTCAGTAGATCATAGCGGAACTCGTCGGAGGACTGTTCTTGTTCACTAGCTAAGCTCATCAATCTCTTCCAACACGACTTGACTAAAACAGCAAGATAAATAAGCCACGTGTGATTTACTGCCTTGCATTATTTTCTCCGAGTAAATAATCTCACCAATTCCTAAAGTCATGTCAGTGATGACTTTCTGGCTGCACTCTTGCAATGCTGATTCACATTCTTCCAAATTGCTCTCAGGCTCGAGAGGTCTGGCTTATATATGTGTTATATTCTTCTGTGTTTGGAGTTCTACATGTTTTCGATCAGATTCAGATCCGGGGAGCAGATAGGTCCAAGGTGAGGGAGACGATTCCTTTTTTATAATTTACACTCTACATAATCCCATACAATGTAGTCTGGCGGTGTCATCCTGTTTCATACCAAGATATATGACAAAAAAGCCTCGTTGGGGCGTAACTAATGTGAAAAACAGGGGAGAATGCATCTTTCTGGTGATTAGGGTTTCATTCTCTTATTAGTTTTTTTTATAGATTGGAAAGACTTAAGAAGTCAAAGAGAAATATGATGGAAAACTCCCGTGACCGTGGTTTCATCCTAGTCTTCACTGTAAATATCTAAATGAACAGTTCTTCCTGTCCTGTGGTGTTACCTGCAGGTAGAGTCGGATTCTGGATCGAATCCTCTGGGAGGAGGAGGAAAATAAAATGAATGCTGTTTTCGCGCTATTGTGTGTTTCGTGCAACTTGGTATGTATTCAGAAACGTGCCATTGATCACTAGGCTCCATAGAGTTCGTATTACAAAACACGCATATTCTTTCCCGATTGTGAGCAACACGTTATACACGTTACAAGTAAAGCAGTTTGAGCACGACTCGTTATTACAAGTGTGAGTTATCGTTTGCGTTTGGTGAACATCCTTTTGTGAAACAGTGGCACCATGGTCAGATGGGAACCTAAATATTTACGGTTCCTTCAGCTCGTGCACATCACAATAACGCAGTTTCGTGTTCTTTTCATATCCAAGTGTTGTTTCCGGAATATTCATACGTTTCGGGTTCAAAATCCAGCACATATGGTAGTACGCAAGCTTACCGTCGTCCGGCACACTACCGCGCCTAACGCATCGGGGTCTTATGTGGTTCACCACTCCAAGTCCTGAGGCTTAGATTATCGTTTTCCAACACGGAACAGCGGGGTTTCGCGGCTGTTGGATCTACTCTGCCTGGTGTTCATCATAAAAGTTTGTAATGAAACAGACCACCATAATCCAGTATCGAGAAGAGCATCGTGTATTATTCCTATGTGGAGTCCATTACGTTAACTGCCAACTTGCTTCGTCGTAGAATGAGACAACTGCGATGAGGCTGTTACAAAGTGTAGAAAGAAAATAATTGTCTAACTTTTTTCTCAGATAGTAAACCAATTCAAGTTCAAATTTTTATTATGAGAAAAAACTTACAAACACTTCGCGTATCAAATCCCATACGTTGTTTACACTTTCGTTCGGAACATGATTCACAAAATCACAGTTAGTCCATGCACGTACAAGAGTAATGTAATGTTTTTGACGAGCACAGGAGAATATAATATGTAGTTGGGTATTGAAACAATGTTTGCCAAAGCGTCATCAAGCTGAC